TGAAGAGAATTAGTCTATCCAATCTTTCTCTTCTAATGTCCCCAAAAGAGAAGTAAAATAAAGTGGCAAAGGTTGTGCGTCACCTTGACAGGTATAAAGATGTTGCAAGAAGTTATGGTAGGAAAATCTTTTTTCTCAGTGTTGCCATGTTAGTCCTACAGCCAAAGCTGGAATACAAACAGAAATTTTACTTTTTCAGGAATGCATATTTCTGTGTATTTTGTGATATTCCTAGTTTAGACAGCTTCAGTATTTGTTAGCAGCCTGTTAAGCTGTGAATAGTTAAGTAAAGGTGTAAGTGTTGTGATGCTAATGCTTATCAGAGTGATCTGTCTCCATTCTCTGACAGCAAGGTTGCTTATCAGTAGGTAATAATTAAAAACAAAAACTATTAAAAAATAAATTGCTGGTTAAAACTGGTACAGTGTCCTGTGAGTCCTGTATGGTAACACTTTTAGCAACACAAAAAGGTATCGTGCTCTGTAAGTGACATTAATAATATTAAATTATTAATATAGTAGGAATACTGGATATATATGAACTATTGAGATAATATGAAAACAATATGAAATAATATGAACTAAACGTGGCGTATATGAATTTATAAACAGATATAGAATCTAAAACCAGGGAATTTTTGATGTTAGTTTGCTCTCTAGAAGGAATTTTCAGATGTATCAGTAGATAAGAAGAAATTATTTTTCTTGTAAACCTCTTAGTAGTTCTCATGTTGAAAATGACACTGGGCAATACTCTAGCATGCTATTACTGTATCATGTAATGTTCTCAAACTACCTTCAATTTCTGATTTGCTTTGTTTTTTAAGAAAGCTGAAGATGATACTAAGTAACATTTTGGATTGTGCGTTACCTATAATTAGAATAATTAAGTTATACCTGTGAAATTTTAAATTAACTGGAAAAAACAAGCTTGCTTTGAAAATTGGAGATTGGTATGTTAAAAAAGAAAAAAATTATTTATGAACTGCGTAAGTTTTGCTGCTATTGAGGGTCAGTGGCTAAGCTATTATTACAAAGCTGTATTGATAAATCTGGTAGACCAGCAGTCTTTTTACACTCAGGTGGTCCTTTCATCCCAGTGTTCGTCCTTTTTCACACACTTGCTTCTTCTGAAAACACCTTTGTTATAGAACCACAGAATGGTTTGGGTTGGAAGGGACCTTAAAGCTCATCCAGTTCCACCCCCCCTGCCAGCAGCAGGGACACCTTCCACTAGACCAGGTTGCTCAAAGCCTCATCCAACCTGGCCTTGAACACTTCCAGGGAGGAGCAGCCACAGCTTCTTTGGGCAACCTGGGCCAGTGTCTGACCATCCTCACAGCAAAGAATTTCTTCCTAATATCTCATCTAAACCTCCCCTCTTTCAGCTTAAACCCATTTCCCCTTGTTCTGTCATTAACTGCCCTTATGAAAAGTCCTTCCCCAGGTTTCTTGTAGCCCCTTCAGGTACTGGAAGGCCACTATAAGATCTCCCCGGAGCCTTCTCTTCTCCAGGCTGAACAACTCCAACTCTCTCAGCCTGTCCTCACAGCAGAGCTGCTCCAGCCCTCGGATTGTCTTCGTGGCCTCCTCTGGACTTTATCCATCTTGTTCCCTGCCTTTGATTCCCTCACTGATCCCGGGCTGCTATTTCCCCTAACATCTTCCATGTCCTGTAGGCAGGAATCTCCCTCAGTCCATAAGGTGCCCTTGAGAATCCCCATGTCCTGGTGGGTTTCACACCTTGCCAGTGGGGCTTCACTGGTGGTCCTCTGGGTTCCTTCACCTGTGTGGAGAGGAGCCTTTTGTCACATAACCTGACAAATGCTGTCTCAGTTTAATACAAGCTACCGCACGAGACTTTGCTTAATTATTTAAAATTCTGTTACCAAAACCACATGAAATATTTCACATCATGTACTGCTGTCCAAAATCATCTCATTTGTCAGAAATTAGGATGCTGTTGAGGAAAAAATAGTACAATTTTTTTTAAAAGTGTTCCAGCCTTAGAATGGCTTTTAGATTGGAAAAATAACATTCCTCCATGTATAACATTTCACAATTAGTAGACTATGTTTTCTTGTAATTTGCTTTTAAGTCTTTTTAGTCATTCCTTGGAAAAAGAAACCTAATTTTTTTTTTATTTTTTACTTAATGAATTTTAATTTCATTTTCTTTTACTTCAGTATGACAGTGCTAAGGATAGATCTACAAGATACTCGGTCCCTGTATGTTAACACTTTGCATGTGTTTTGAGTGAAGACTGCTTTTGTGTTTTGTTTTTAAGGTGTAATGACACTAACTAGCTACTTTAAATTATTGATTAAAAAAAAAATTTATATTTATACTACCATACTTCCAGACCTAGAATAGCAGTACTTTTCTAACACTTGATATAGAATGCATGTATAAACTTCTTCTGGATAAAATACAATGAAGTCACATGTTACAGACAGTTATCTTGCAATAATAACTTTTTAGTATTTAGCTGTTATTTCTAAACTTTGAAGTGACATACAGATTAGACTTGGAGGACATACTTAAAAAAAAGTGTGTGTATGCATTTATTTGTATTCTCAGTTTCTATATAGAAATTATAACCTAATCTGATGGAAAACTATTTCAGTCCTGAGAAAAATTAGGTGGTTTGTATACCTTTACTTAAAAAAAATTCTCTTCTTATCATTATGAAGTGATAGTAGAGTCCGTCACATTCTCCTTGGTATTATACCAGGTAAGATTTGTGTGTGTCTCTTGAAGCAAAGACAAGCACCGAGTACCTCTAAAAGGAATCTGTAAGCAACTTAAAAGCTCAATTTGTTTAAAAAGCAGTGTTATCTGAATTAGCTACAGGTAGACAAACACAGTATAATGCTTAAAATAGTCTGTAATGTTGAACTTCTTTAGTTTTTGTTTTACATTTTAGTGAAATGTGAATGCTGGCTTAAGCCAAGTCTGTGTTAATCAGAGATAAGGTTGGTTATAATTTCACTTATCAGTTTTATTTTACACAGTTATAGGAGTATGGCCTGTTATTCTAATCATATAGTTAGAATTTTCTGTGGTGTTTCTGTTGTAGGTGACAAATATCTTAAATCCTGCTGTTTAACTTCTTTATATTTTAAGATTTAAGATGCTGTTACGTGGTGGTGTTAATTTTCACAATTTCATTCTTAGAGTCATGCTTACAGTGAATCTCATAGTTCAAAGAAGAAAGCTGCTTATTCCCATAAAGATTTATTGGTTAGTTTTCTGCTATAATATTTATTATAAATACACTAACTGTGTAGAGTTACATACTAACATGATTATGAATTGCTGACATAAGCATACATGTTTTCAGGGAAAAAAAAGAAACCTCTAGTATTGACCAAATTCTGACCTGAAGTTGAGTATTTGAAACTGTGGTTGTGTCAGTGGAATCAGCTGAATAGAAATCACATTCTGTTGGAGGCTCTTGGAAACATTAAAAACTGACACTTCTCATGATTAAAGTTTATTCAGTCATAATGGAGATATGTGTTTTATTCTTCACACTTTGTCCCCTATTATGTAGAGATATTTTAAATGGAGATGTGAAAACAGAGTAAGATAGACTGAATTTACCATAAACCTTGACATTAACCCAGTGAACTGCTGAGAAAGGCATATGGATTATTGTGATCTTCCAAAAAAATGTTCTAGAAAGCTCAGTACATAACATATGTGAATATAATGTGAAGAAATTAAATTTTTAATGTAATTTTTGGAGGGTTTTGACACTGATGAATTAACAGTTGCATCAGGGGTTGGGGGAGTTAAAGCAGCAGTGGACACCTGTGTTGAGACAGGGCTGAAATATTTTTTTATATTTCCTCATTTGTATTCCAGCATTTCTTTGTGCACTTCTGAGGTGCTATTTCCCATTCCCTCAGTTCTTAAATAAATTATTGAGATTAATCTTTTTGCCTCCCATGACCTATTAAGATACATTCTGAAAGCATTACTTTTTGCCATGTCTTCATCTCTGTTGTTCCTTCTTGACATGCGTGTATCAGTTTTTCCCTTGCATGTATCTACATGCAATCTATGTAGGAAGTGTCAAAAACCAACAGAAATAAGCCAGAGTCGAATTGCTAGGCTGTCAGCACGCACGCTTGGTCTAGTGACAGGCTACAGGTTAATAGTAATCCCATAAACATCCATCCTCTATTGAATTCATAGGAATTTCTCTCCTTCTCTCTCCCCAAATTCTCTGATTCTATAGGATGGTATCTAATGGAAAAAAAAAAAAAAAAATCAAGCTAATCATAGTACTAATTACTAGCAAGTTTTGTTAAAATATGTTTTTCATGTATTGTAATATGTCAAATATGTATTATAATATGTCAAATATGTTTTTCATGTATTTCATGCTGCACTTGTCAGGATTTAAATAAACTTTTCATGTTTTCCTTATTCATTAGGGAGGGAAAAAAACAAACTATTTACTACTTTGTTTGGCCAGGCCATTAGAAATAAAGATCATATACAGAGTACATAAGCAGGTTTTGGGTTTCTTACACTTCACTTGCTTCAGAAAGTTATATGGATTTTGGGTCAACCATAGGGAAAATGTTTACAATGCTGTGTACAAGTTCTAAGCTTGGGAACGTTTGGGCAATGTTGAGATAAAACTTTTATTTCCAAGATCTACAGATGCAACTTTTGTTTTATCTGTTTTTTTTTCCCCCCACAGAGTGGAATTTACTATGATCAAAGAAATTATAGCAGCCTTAGATATAGTAAACCAGTTTCTTCCTACCATACTCGGGTCTGTCTCTTCTTCCTGTATTCATTTTTAAATGTGTATAAAATACATATATTTGTTTTTACTTGTGCTATATGAAGCAAACTTGTCTCTCTTTCCTTCTGTAAGACTCCAAATCATTACAGCTAATAGCAGATACAGCTGTATTTCTTGCTTTTAAGGGTTGCATTTTGTAAAATGAATAAATAACATGCAAGTTACTCTATTCTGCATAAGTGGGATTTTAAACTTAAATAGCTTCTGTTTTCATGATTGCTGTGTAAGGAAAACAGTTGTCCTCTGTGACACTTGCTTTTTCAAGGTCCTGTTTTTAAAAAATAAGTGAACAAGAAGTCTTTAAGTTTAGTGCCATTCTACTGCTTTCTTCTACAGTAATATAAATACATGGTCTGTTGTGAGATTGGTAGTGTCATCCAGTACCTGCAGCTACTGTCATAGTCAGGTTTAAACCAATAGCTAGAGGAAGTTGATGTATCTTTTGAAAACTACTTTATTTCTTATAATTCTCCTGTACAAATTTTCTGATAAAATACTAGATTGTTTTAATAAATATTTTAGATTATGATTTCAAAGATAATTTGAAAGGGTTTTCTTGGAATGTTTATCCACACTTCTCTTAAAGTTCTTGTCTATTATAGATATAAAATTTCTTGTCTATTATAGATGTAAAGTTTAGTGTTTCTATCTTTTGAACTTCTGGGGAATATAGAACAATAGATTTTAAAAGTCAATGTACGCAGAAAAAGTGTTTCTGACTTTTCCTCTTCTTCACACTGCAGTCTTCTTCTCTATACAGTGATCCAGTGGCAACAACTAGGAGTTACAGGGTTAGTAGAATGTAAAATAGTATCTTGCTTATCTTTAGATGTTGGAATGGCAATCAGAAATAAAAAATTCCACTTTTCTTCTTAGGTGTCTCCTTCTGTAAACACTGGTTTGATAAGAAGTATCAGTTTGGTTCGTAAGCACCATTTGCATGGTTGCCTTAAAGTTGTATTGTATGGCCATAAGGCTTGACAGTGTTACCTGTGCAATTTTTTTTTCATATTTTTAAATAAAGCTGCAGCTTGTGTGTGTCATTTTGTGGAGGCATTCAGTTTTTTAGCATTGTTAAATTGCCTCTTTAAAGTATTTTAGTAGTTGCTGGTTTAATCATCTTTTTACAGACAAGCATAAAGTTTAGGATACAACAATGAAGAACAATGCTGGTGTTAGAACAAGTTAATCCAAGCATACTAAATAACAACTGCATGCCTATTACTAAAAAAACAAAGAGGTATTTAAAGATGTTAAGCTAAGCATTTGAATGGGGAAAAAAACATTATCAGGAGATTACAGAAAATTGTGGTAAATACACTTTAAATACTTTAAAATAAGATGGCGAGTTTAAATTTAATAATCATACAAAAATGTAATAGGATGAAAACCTAATCTGCATTTTTACAAAATAAAAAGTAGCTAGAAGTGCCATAAGAATGGCTAAAATAGCTTTACACAAAGTTGTCATCTTTAAAAGTAACATGCATGCCTGAAACTTTATGCCTTTCGCTGCTATGACAGTTCAAATCCAACGTAGACTGCCCTTCAGAGACATGCTACACCTGTATAGAAAATCAGCAAGTATTTCCATGCAGTATTTTTATAGTTAATGAGGTCTTGTTCTGCACTTAAATTGCAAACACAGATAACTTGTTTTTTTGGCTTTGTGCCTATTCTTGAGTAAACATTAGATAGCAGATCCGGTGAGAGAACGAAACCATAATGACTGGTATTGCATTTAATTCAAATATACATGTAATTCAAATTTCTACTGGAGATCCCTTCATAGGTAGGGGGAAAGCAGCATGAGACACTTTTAATTTTTTTTTTTATTATTATTATTTTTTTTTAATTATGCTGCCTAGAGCTACTTTTATCCACGCGTAAATAGATTTTATTTAGCCTTGCACCTTGGAACATTCTTCTTCAGGAAAACCTTCATGGGTGAGCACAAAATAAAACTGCTAAGTGGCCAATATAGCTTCAGTTCCCAGGTGGATCAAAATTTCTGAAGGTTTCAAAACAGTGAAAACTAAATTGCAATTTAAATATTTACTTAATTGTTTTCTGAAAACAGTTAAGATTTGATTAAAAAAAACCAAAACAAAACTACAACTATTTGGCTATTTTTCAAGGAAATTCTTAGATGTATATGTGGAAATAGACATTCCTAATAGTAGGAGGAGATGTTGCAGAAAATTTTTAGAAGTTGTTTGACCTTTCACCAGGTATAATGTTAACTGGAGAATGCATACATGGGATAAAATAGAGTATGTTACAGTGCTTAAGTGTGGGATCATTATTTCTGAGACAGAATATAAACGGTATTTCATTCCCTTTTTCTCAGGCATCTTTGTGTGGTGATGGATTACGTAGCTCATATAGTTCTCGCACTGTAAGTGTAAGAGGCTTTTGGTCGTTTCTTTTATTATCTTTGTTTTCTGGAGATAAAAACCTATGAAAATTGTGAAAATTTCCTTCACAACTTTTCTTTAGCCATCGGAATACAGTTATTCTTCAAGAGCAAGCTCAATTCGAAGTAGTCCTGTGGTGAGCGTTCCTCTTGCATGGTTTCTTGAATGCTTTTGTACTAACACACAACAATTATGAGTATTTATACTGGAGATCATTTTACTGACCAGCACACTGACTTGGTTTTTCAATTCCGCATCAAAAAAAGGCAGTTTGTCAGAGATGTGATTTTTAGCAAGATGTAAAGTTTTAGCAATAAGACAGTAAAATGTAGAAGCAATAAAGAATTTACTTTTCTAAACATCTTGTAGATGTTTGTAATGTATGTAGTTGGAAGCAACTGGAAACTGAAGTATGGTATATTGCTGGGATTCCCATCTCATGTTGTAACTGGGGGGCAGGCAGGTGAAACTCACTACAATACATGTGAAAAAGTCTTTTCTTTTTGGAAAGAGGACTAACCCAAACTTTGTTATATCACGCAGTAAGCTCATTTTCATGGAAACCAGTATTCAAAACTGAGAGAAATGTGTTCCTGGATCTGTAGTGTGTCAACAGAGTCATTCCAGAGGTGTTTTTTTCCTGCTGCAGAGTGATTTTAAATAGCTGTACCCTGTTTCTACCACAGAACAACTGTCTTGGTTTCATTGGTACAGCTGCTCATTTGTCATGCTACACAGAAAAGTAGCTCTGTGTTCTGATATGGGTTAAATTTAAATGTTTGATCCAGTTTTCGTTTTTCATGTATTCTTAACAATGTTGTAGAGACTAAACAAATAAAAATAGATTTGTCAAGCGACTGGATGTTTTTAGCTATAACAGATGTCAGAGTGAATTTTGGAGGATGTAGGAAAAAGGGAATTTTGGTGTTGCTTTATGAAGTTCCAAAACCTAAGAGGTATTAACATCCATCTCTAAAGTCTCTTAAACTGTGAAAATACTACTTCTTAGTTTCTCTTGACATTAAGATTCATTTCTTAAAAGTATTTACTTGATATGTATATAGGAATTCTATGTATCTCCGATCTCAGTATGTGAATGTGACACCAATAGTGCCAAGGTACCATTAACTCACACTAGTGAATGTTTAATAGAGTTCAAAGTATTTGTTTAATGAAATAATTCTGAAAAGGGTATTCAGCAGGTGAAGTAAACATCTCACAACTTAACTTTCACTTTCTGTTGTTTTTGTGGTTAATGCTTTGGTTTCACTCTGGGTTATGCACTGGAAATCAGCTCAGTACTCACTGGAAATTAAAAGATGGAAACAGAGTAGAAAACACTGGTGGAAAACTGTATCGTGCATCTCCATCTTAAACTGTATTGGTTTTCATAAACCCATTGAGAAAGATGTTAGAAATGCAGAGGGTATAGAAGGAGGAAGAGTAAGTTTTATCAGATGTATGGACTTTTCAACAGCAAAGATAAGTTAGTTTTGAATGAAAAAGAGCACGCTGTTGTCATAGGTTATGTTTCTAGCCCTTGAGTTTTTTGTTCTTTTGCTGTGAGTGTAATTCATATAAACAGAATTCTGTTCAGCATTTTTAGATTTTGTGAAATGCAAGTGAAATGAGAAAGTTCAGCCAAATTTCTGACCATTATGATTTATTTACTTTATTATTAAAAAAAAAATAAAGATGTTATTTAAAGAGTAGATATAGTTATGGCTGGAAAGTTACTTGTCAGAGAAACAGAACATAACCTAGCAGTGACAAAAAATATAAATTGTGTAGTCTGTAGAACGTAGAATCTGAGACAGGTGTTCATCTGCAAGAAGTTTTATAGGTAACTGGTCACATTTGCATAAAAGACATCTGACTGTCTTTTAATTGGAATAAAATGAGGCTACATCACTCTATACATCAGGTACAAAGAAATTAAGAATTATTTATTTTTTTTAATGGTTAAAATGGGATAAGGACAACATATTTTCAAACTGATCATTTGAAGATTTTCTTTCATATAATCACTTTTAAAAATAAGCATAATATTCACAGTAACTTTCTGTCTTTTAAAGCAGAGTTTACTAACACAACACTTTGGATAATGCTCCTCCTCTCATTAAATACTGTGTTTAACGTGCTTAGCATTTTCTCAGTGAAATATTTCCCTTGCCTTCCCATGGCATTGTAACGACTGTGATGTGGTTAGATATATTTTGCCTTTTTTACTAGTGATGTATTGCATTAGTATTTTTTCCTTGCCCTTTTTAAGGTTCCTGTGTGACAGCTTTGAGGAGTACACTTGTCTTCTATTGTGAGGCCTCTGAAAATTGTGAATAAGAGGAAGCCCAGTTCATATTCATAATTAGTAGTGTTGGGATTGTGTTGAAGAAAAGACAACATTCATAGAGAAAAATAACATTTATTTATCAAATTCAGATTATAGAATATGTTTTTATGATCTACAAACCTTTTTATAAAAAAGGTAATTTTCGTAGCTTGTGTTTGGTCCTATATTAGTATTAAACTCTTTTGTATCTCTGATTGTATTTTTTTATGTTACTCCAAATGAGGAAAATGAATCAATAATAAATGTTCATTGCTTTTAGGTTTAGATACTGTAAACCACAAGAATAATAAACATGTCAAGACAGTGTTTAAAAACAATGCTGACTAAAGTATTCATATCAGTGTAGCACGTTTTATTCATATATACACATTTAAAGTAGCAAAAATCTAGAAGACTAATTAAGATTTTACAAGTATTAAAGTTAGAAAAGCAAGAATAAACTGCAATAATGGAGATTAAAGTTAGGATTTCCTGTTTGTTTCTTTGGTTTTTTTTTAAATAAACTTTTGTTCATTCTGTGGTGTCACCTTCAGTTCTCTTTCACCCTTCTCCTTGTCTTTTGAAGTCCTCTGATTTTTCTGATCAAAGTGAAACTGCTGCTGACTATTTTAGTCGTTCCAACCGCAGGGGAAGCATTGTTTCCGATGCAGATGATGTTCAAGGTTTGAATAGTGTAAGTGTTAATGCTTGTTCGACTGTGCAAACTCACTAACCGTGGATTTTCTTTTCATACTCTGAAAGAGTAAATACTGTGAAAGCATCCAGAGTTATTTAATGGCAGATAGGATTGTTGAGGGGTTGGGGCTGGTTTTTTGTATTGAAATGTCTGGAGTCTGAATTTTTTAAAAGCATGCTGCTTTTTTTATTTCACAGGATTTTGCCTGTTGCTAGAAGCATGTGGCAAGTGTTAACACTTCACATTTTTTGTGTGTGATAAACTTAAGCATTTCTTAAATGTAAAATGCTGTGGGTTTTTGTTATGGAGATTAACAATGTCTAAGTTATTTTGTGTATTTTTGGAATACTGCTACTTGGTTTTGTGACAAAAAATAGATACTTAGAGCTGTGCCTTCTTTAGTGCATTTTAGTGTTCATTTCTCCAAGGTGAGGTTTTATCAGGATCCGTTACTGGAGCACTTGTTGGCTACGCTATCTTACTGAATCCTGAGTCAGTAGAGCAAAAAATTATCACAATGAGTTTCCTGTACATCCCTTTAGTCTGAACATTGTTTTTATTCTTTATTGCTGCTGTAAGTTCTAGAAATTCTTGTTACTTGCAGTCAAAACTTTTGTGCTTAATAGTGGAAAAAAAATAGGGAAACTTCCATTCTTAGGCATGTCTTTGGAGTAACAGAGTTAGGACATGCAGTCGGAGGAAAGGTTGAGAGAACTGGGATTGGGATGTTACTGGGATGTAACTTGTAATAATGCACAGCATTCATCATTTGCACATGCTCAAAACATGGCAGAGACCAATAATTTTTCCAGTTTAAATTTAAGTGCTTTTTTGTCTCTTATAAACCTACTTTTCTGAAATTAACTAATTTTCTAAAAGAAAATGTGGAAACTGAGACTGGCAATTATGCTGCCTTCTCAGTTGCTTTTATCATCATCATTCTTATGTATTATTAGATCCAAAAATTAATTTTTATATAAGGTACTCTAAATGGATACTTCAGATAATTGGAGTCTCAATACCATTTTATAATCACAGCGGTGACAAGTATTTGCCATTTGTATTTTCCATACATCATTGGAGATGGTGAACTTGCCATGGAAATGTTGCTTTGGTAAAACTCACAATAGGAGGAAAAAGGGAGATCTCGTAATGCAACATTAGTTTCTGCTGTGATTGTAGCAGACTTATAGATCTCTTGTCCCCAGGCTGGAATAAAACCAGGTGTTTTTGGAGAAGCCAGATATTTGAGATACCAGACTCAATGTATCGTACTTGTTTTAGGAAATATGGCAACATGTTAATGTCTTCATTTAATTCCACCTATTTTGATTCCTAGAATAGTAGAAAATATGAAAATTAACAATATAAGTTTGCAATATCAGTGTTTCTAAATAAGAAAGGGAAGTTCTTTTAATTAGGCTTCAATGCATAAAATACTAATTGAAATTATTTTGTAGGTTGCTGTTAATTAGTACACTTCAGAAATTATTTTGTAGGTTGCTGTTAATTAGTACACTTCAGTTATGGGCTTTTACCTGAATTGTTTTTGTCCTGATGTAATTGCAGGATTCATCAAGGAGATTGAAGGAACAAATGTGTTATCTAATGGATGTTCACACTGGTGTCACTGGTTGCTTGAAGTGCACTTGCATGAAGCTTTGTTTTTCATGCCACCAGTTGTTGTTGTCACTACCTTGTTGAAATTTAAAGTAGTGAAACATGTTTTGTTGATTAGTACTTTAATATTGGTAATGAGTTTTTATTAAAACTTAAAAGCTTCTGGCTTTTTCTTTCCAAGCATTCATTTATTTTGCAGTTGAGGTAAAGACGACTTTTTTAGGCTGAATTTTTTTTTCTGTCTTGATGTATGAACTTCTGGAATATTTTTTTTCTGTTCTTTCATTTTTTTTGTTCTTAAATATTTCTTACTACCTTTGAACAGAAGACGGTGATTCAGTAGACCCTCTTTGCAAAAGGTCTATTGTGATCACTTTCCCTTTTCTCTTTCAGCTCGAAGAAAAGAGTGAAAAATCACATTCAGAAATATTTTCAAGGGTAAGAGTTTTTAATTCAAAAGTTACTGAAAGTCAGTCTTCATCCATAAATTTACAAATATTAAAGTAGTTCCAAAAGTATAAATGCTGTGTATTTTTAGTAGAGTATATTTTAGTCATTTTTAAGAACTTACAAAGAGGTATTTTTAGACGTATCTTTATCTACGAAATTAATGCTTTGTGTCTTTTATTTCCCAAGGAAATAATTTTATTCTTAAGTTTACTTTTAGAAGTATTAATTTCTTATAGAATTTATTTTCTGTGTGAGAAATATTTAGCAGGAAAGGCTGAATTTTAAGAGGCTAGGGCTATAAAAATTCATATACTAGATTCCACTGGAGACTTTCTTCTGAATCCTGGGTGTCAGAAATTACAATTTTTAGAAATATTTTAAACTTCTACAGTTTTTCAGCACTAGCAGCTTCCTTATGAAAGTCTTCTGAACAAAAGACTCAAAACTGTAAAGTTATGATAACTCATAAGTCATCAAAGAGAAACAAACATTTCATCAAGAAGAAACATAAGTGCTGGAAAATAATCAATGGAAAGTATTGTCTATAAGCTAAAAGTAAGAAATGGTAAAAAAAAAAACAGAGAGAAAAGTGTTCTATGACTGAAGCAATTTATAAAGAGAAATGACAGTGTGATTCCTGATACAGTGTTTTTCCCTTTTTAAGCCATCATCTCGCAATTCCATAAGTGCAACTCCTCTGAGTGGCAACTCATCTAGGAGAGGAAGTGGAGACACAAGCAGTTTGGTGGATCCTGATGCCTCCCTCAGTGAATTACGGGTAAACTGCATTTTCAGAGAATTTGGAGCTAGTTTAAAATTGTATTTGTGGTTAGGAGGAATTTTTCTTTGCTGCAGAGCTTCTGGTGTCTTAATACTAATAAAAAGTTATGAGGATGTAATTTTTAATCACAAAAGATTTCTGTATTTATCTTGATAATTGTATTTGTTGTGTTCATAAATATTTATGGCGCTAACAGTTTAGCTTATATTAAAATAAGATTTTGTTTATGTCAAATTTGAAACAATTCTGTCCTATTTGAGATGACTTAGATTCGGGGATATAAACAAAAATCTTAATTTCCATCAAGTCGTTGTGAATTAATTGTAATTTCTGTGAATTATTACAGGCTTTGGCATTTGACAGAAATACATCTAAACCTTTTAATGCTTTTTCAACTATAAATTATTTCCCCATACTTCTTATGCTATGGTTCATTCCTATGTCCTGCAGGATATCTATGATCTTAAGGACCAGATACACGATGTAGAAGGGAGATACATGCAGGGACTTAAGGAACTAAAGGTATCAGGGCTCCTCCCAAGCATGCATTCTGTATGGGTGTTTTTGGGGAATGGAGATATCACTGGTTCCACTAACTCTATAAGGCTTTACTAACAAGTTTTTAAATGTCTTTAAAGCATGTATCTAACTTTTAATGCATAGAGAGCATCAGCTTAAATTTGTAAATTATTAAGATATAATTTAAATGTACCTGAGGTATATGTTCATTATTTGGTTTATGTTAAAATAGTATTAAACTTGCACCTTTTTAGCAGGGGTTTTATGGTAAGATAAGGAGATTTAAGTTATATTTTTCAGAGTTTTGTTAGCAAATGTATGGATATTCAAAATAATTACTATATATTAAATGGGGTAGAAAAAATGGGATATAGATATGACTAAGAACTTAAGAAACAACAAATCAGTCTTCCAAGTTGCAGCAAATACTACATCTTATAAGGCAAAATCAAAATAATGATTTTGAATGATGCACTGAGATGAATCTGGGCAGGCATATTGCTTGCAGGAGAAGATTGATTTTGTTTTAATCTTTTGCCACTATGAAAGATTTTTTTTTATGCTCGTGGTTTACATTCCCATTATCTTTGTCTAAATTATAGGTTGGTATTTTCAGTATTAGGTTAATGAGATTTGTCTATATTTTGACTTGTTTAAATTAGTATGCATGCTTTTCTTTTGTAAGTTTTCACAGAATTAATAGCTTGCAGTTAATTTAAAGTAGGATTATTTTCCCCTCTTCTGTGTTCAAGGGAAACTCAATACAGCAAATGATGTGGCTTACACATCTTTTTCAGGATATTTGTTCTGTTCTCTTTCTTGTTATCTAGTTGTGAATGGTAAATGTAAAAGTAAAGAGATCTTTCCATATTTGTTTTATATCCATATAGAGACTGAATTTGATGAATGCTTCTTGTGCTAGAGCATGTAACAGTGATGTATTTAAGAGCTTCCCTCAGTTTTATTGATTAAACAACATTAGATAGCATAGTAAAGAGAAAATAGGTAATTTGAGCTGTTCAGTGTAGCAAAAATTATTTTCAGAGAAAGTAACTTGAATCTGATAGCTGTATGCTCATCTTAATCATACTGCCATATGAATATTAAAAGGCTGTCAAAGAGCAGTTAGATTACAAGATTATTAGACATAGCTATGATTGTACTGAATTGGAATAAAATGTGAGATTGCTTCATAATTTTAGAATGGATCTAATCCATGTTTGCCAGCCTCCTCTTTAAGGCTGGGGTCCCAGAGCACATGGCATACAGTAAGAGGTTGAAACAACTGGATTTGACAAGTCTTGGGGCAAGTGGGCAGCAGTACCATTCCTGTTTCCAGCTGCCTGATAGGAGCCTGTAGAGAAGGCAGGGCAGACTCCTTGCAGAGGTGCACAGTGACAGGGCAAAAGGCAACAGACAAAAGATGCATCATAAGGGCAGAAATTCCTATTAGACTTCAAGAAACAAACTTTTCACAAGGAAGGCAGCAGCCAGGTTCTGCAGTCTGCTTCCCTGCAGATACTTCAAATGAACTGGAGATGAGCTGTGAGCAGCCTGATCTTGGCTGGCCCTGCTTAATTAGGAGATTGGACCAGGTGGCATCCAGAGATCTCTTAACCTAAATTACAGAAAACAATCAAATTGGAATTTTTTCCTAGTTGTACTTTGGTTAAATTTTGTATCTCCACATAAAAGACTATAACATTCACTTTAATGTTAGTGTTTAGCTTTTTTCCTTATAAATTGATTTTCTTTGGGAGTCTTTGGAAGGTTTACTGTCTCTGACATTTTGTTTTGTGGATTTTTATAAGATTTGTTATGTTTGCACCATCACAAAAAACGTTTTCCATTATTTTAATCTAAAAATTAATAATTACTTGAATGCACTTACATGTATTCTTTATTTTTTTCATTTTCTTCTATTTTATTAATCTTCTTTGCTCTTCGCTATTTACTGTTTCCCAGATGATAATAGTTTCTTTCTTACCTTTTCACTACTTACACTGACTCGTCTCTTCTGATTTGTAATCTATCAAGTTATGTCTTAAGTTATTTTTTTCTGGGGTTTCTAAAATACTGTTTTTCTCCAGCACAAAATTCCAGAATTTAGTGAATGGAACAGAGAGATAGAAATACCTGTGACTATGATAAAATTATAAAAAATAAAATACGTACTTTAAGGACAGCTTTCTCAAAATGGAGATTTATAACATGGAGTAGGGTTTGGGGGTTTAGGTTTTCTTAGAAAACTTGGATTGTTACCACCCTCTCCCAAAATACCTTAGTCCTTAGTCCTACTGTTGTGTTTTCTGGAAGACCCAAGCTTGGTGCCCTTCCTGTGTGAGTACTTCTACTGTCATAATACAAATAATTAAACAGGGAGGTTATGCTACTTATGCCTTGAAAAGAGAGATTACATGAAATACTAGGGGATTTGTAGGAGGACACAGATCTGCTTTAGAAAGGGAATAGCTTAATAGCTGTCTTTCACTTCTAAAATTAGGACTCTGAAACTTAATTTTTTGTATTTTTAAAAGCATGCATATTGAAATCATCGCGTGTGTAGAAGTATCTGGAGTGATAGTTTCAGTATTGAACAGTTCAGGTTTGTTACAGTACTGGGGGGAAAAAAAAGGATAAAATCATTTTGGTTAATGTGAGAGAATTGCTGAAGAGGTATAGCAAGGTGTACGTGCACCTTCTGGTAGAGAATCAAGTGTGTGAATCTTTACATGCTTTTTTTTAATCTTAGTGAGAAATAAAAAGACAAAATGTCTGCTTGAACAGAGAATCATTATTACTTAAAAAATGTGACTACCTGAAAACTTGAATCTGAGGTATAGAGCACTACTCAAATAATGACCATTAAGTTAAACTACTCTTAGAGAGATTTCTGTGCTCTTTTTTAGTCATATAATTGTCTGTATTCTGTCAGATTTGGTGGCTCGTTCTGAAGTGTTTCCTTGTGCATGCACTGAAAATACAATAAAACTGCAATATTGCTACTTTAGCCTTGTGAGTTAAGTCGTGAAATTAGCAGAGTAGAAAATGCAAGAGGAACATTATCTTGTGATTTTTGTCCTTTTGTAACGATAACTTTTCATTGCTCTGTATGACTTAACCTGAATAATGGAAATTGAGCTGTGACTTGGTATTTCTAGAAAGAAGACGTGAATAATAATTCAGAAACAAAAATGGTTGCATGATTTTATTTTATAACCGATAGCACTCTTCAGCATTATGGTGGTATTTGAGCATTATAACAGTGCATCAACAAGTTGGACTAATGTCAGCCTTTCTGCTGTCTATAGGATTCACTAGCTGAAGTGGAAGAGAAGTACAAGAAAGCTATGGTTTCCAATGCTCAACTAGACAATGAGAAAAACAACTTGGTTTACCAAGTGGATACTCTAAAGGATGTCATTGAGGAGAAAGAAGAACAGATAGCAGAGTTCTATAGGGAGAATGAAGAGAAGTCAAAGGTACTGATTTTTAAGGTGGTTTTTTTTCTAATTATAAAGATAAATCATAGAAACCTGCACTACTTAGTAAGGAAAGGTGAAATTTTTTGGATTAGTAGTAGAGTCCAGCTATCTAGGTGTTGTGAGTACTGTGTTTTGTTTTGTTTTTTAAAAACCCCTACCATCCTTCAAAAAACCCAAACCAACAAACCAACCACCCCCCTGGAAAAAAAACAAACAAATTCCACCAAACAACCTCTCCCTCTCCACTCCACAAACCACATCCCAATTGAATGCGATTTAATTGATTAATTGAATTTAAATAATGCAATACACTAAAGAGAAAATATGCATTTGAATCAAATAGGACATGTTCAGTCCCACTTTCTTGGAAATGGAAAATCTCTGTGGTAGCTTTTTTCTAGCAATGTTTAGATAAATTCAGTATCTGAGTTTTTCTTGTTAATATTATGCTTAAACCTTTATGGCATCTTTTCTCTCCACACTAAATTTTATTAAATAAAATCTTCTATGCAGTAAATATCTGGAACATTTAACTAAAACACTGATTCTGTCATTTTTAGCCACTTGGTAGGTAGAATTTCTCAGGTTGTTGCAGTAATTTCTTGGGTATTGTTATGTTAAATAATATTACTAACTTTTAAAAACTTGATATTAAAAATAAGTGTCAAGCCTAAAATAAATAAAAAGAAATAATGAATTTATTTAATATAGGAATTGGAAAGACAGAAACACACGTGCAGTGTTCTACAGCATAAGTTGGATGAACTTAAAGAGGGCCTTCGACAGAGAGACGAGTTGATAGAGGTATGTTCATGTGAGATACTGTGTGATAGAACTTGTACAAACAAACATGGTGTAAGGTTTGAATGGGAATAGCCATCGTACACAAAATGAGCTTAAATATTATCTTGCATTTTTAAGAAGAATTACCTTGATTTAGTGGATAGAATTTAAGCTATCAATCTCTCTTAATTTATAAAGTTGAAAATGTCTCTGTAAGGGATTCAAATGTGTAAATTTCTTAATTCCTGTGAGAATTGTGGTTCTCTCATGAATGTTCCTTTTGTCTTTTTCTTCCATTGTGAGGGCAGAACTAATGTTTGTATGGCCAAAATCTTTTTGCCTACCTAGAACTTCTGATGCATGGATAATAACAAATATTAATTTTTCCCTTTCCTTAAAGTTTCCATTTCAGTTATTTTGTATTTTTGTGAGCATCAACCACTGAAATTTGCAGCAGTGAATGTTTGTTTGCTTTACCAGTCAAACATAAACATAGCAACACTGGTCAGCATGTTACTGGGACATAACCATGTCGCTGGATGTGGGGTCCATCATTTTCTTTTTCCCTCTCCCTCTTTTAATTTGTTTCCAGAAGAAACGTGACCCAAAATCCCGGAGTTATTTTCAGTCTTTATTTTAAAATAGTCCACAAACTTATATATATTGTCAACAATATGCAGGTGTCCATTTCCCGTTGGTTTTGGTTCTAGCATTGTTAAGTTGTAGGTCAATTAGTATGTCATTTTCCCCACTGCCTTTTGGCTTCAGTGAAAATCAATGATTTTAAGTGTAAGAGCCAAAATTTCCACTACCTGCTTTTCAAAAGCTGTCTAATATTGAATTTCATTGATAATTTCTTTTGCCCTTAATTCTTGCACTCTCCAGGCAGTAGTAGTGTAATTCCACAAGACTTCTGAAAAGTCCCAGATCTGTTATGGTTATTGAGAATATAATATGCTTTGTGAATTGGAGTTGATATGATTTACTAGTAGAAGAAAAGGAGTAGGATTAGCCTAAGAGGCAGCATTTTGTGGAGTAATGCTGACAAGCAAAAACTTGGCAAATTCTGCTTGTAGATCTGTCACTTGCTCTGGATTCTCTTTGACTTCACTGTAAAGGAAAAAAACACTTTCATCTTTGGTGGTGGTTGTTTGGGTTTTTGTTTGGTTTTGTTTTTTTTTTTTAAATATGTGAATCAAGAATATACAGTAGGTTTGTCTGGAGTGTTTGCTTTGGTAGAATGTAGCATGTGTATGTAGAATATTCACCAAATGCATGCAGTCCCTTCAAAGATAAAGTTTACCCTACATTTACCATTATTTGAGTAACTTCTCTAGCTTTTAACACTAATATAATCTAGCTGAAGCCATTTAGCTTTTTGCAGGAAGACATTATCTTCCATTCCCAGATGTAAAATCAAGTTCATTAGGAAGGCAAAAAATTTTCTCTAGCCCTAAAATTCTTATGTCATCCTCATACATAATTATCTGAGAATAACAAAGGACTTCAGCTATGTCTGCAGGGCAAACAGCAAAGTGTTAGTCAGATAAAAAATAGAATTACACTTGATATGTATTGATACAGCACCAGAAGGCAGTCAGCAGCTGTATTTCACTTCCTGGATTTTTGATTCAAACTTCCTTCTTTATACTTTAAAGAAGGTTTTCTATTTTGTAAGATGTTAATAAAACCACTTGTTAATATAAGTGGGACTTATGAGTGGGACTCACTTTCAAATGGGACTCGAAGGTATCTGGAAATCACAACAAGGTAATTATTTTCCTAACAACATGATGTTATCCCCAGTCTGCAGTGGGAACTGTTACTAAAGAGAAGTAGCTCTAGCTGCACTAAATTCTCACATCAGCATGGATTGAATAGAAATAATTACTGTTCTTGTGCATGAATTCATAGAAGAAATATTATGTTACACTTAGTTGCACATTTTTTCTTTAACTTCATGCTCATAAACACTTTGGTTGACTTGTACTATTTATTTTCCTTTATCTGTTTGAGTGAGTTTTTTTTCCCATTTCCTTACTTCTCTTTCCTCTGTTATTCTTCCCTCATCCTATTTACTACAGGAGAATCAACGCATGCAGCAGAGTTTAGACTCCATAACCAAAGAGGTGTTTGATCTGCAGGAGACAATTAATTGGAAAGATAAAAAAATAGGGGTATGAAACAAATATGGGGGGAAAGGTGTTTTTTCATTTTAGAAGTAGATGAATGCCCCCATCCCTGCAGGGAATGCTGTGTACTCCAAAGAAATGAAGGCAAATTTAGATATTTAAAATGTTTTGCAGTCTTTGTCTTCTTTAAAAAGTGAGCTCCACTCTGTCTTTACTTGCATCATGATGAATAATACTAATTAAATCTATAATATAATAAACTCTTATGCATACAATTTTAAATTTTTTTATAGTTTTTTTTTACCTGTAATCATGGCTTGAAAAAGGCATTTTTTCCTTATTCTTAATAAATGTAAAAATGGCCTGGGTCCATAGATAGATCCATAGTGACATTGCAATAATATCATTTTATACTGATTTGAAATTATGTTTAATGCTTTTAATCTCCTGAAAGGCAAATACCATTTTGAAAACTTGAACAGTTTAAACCCTGCTCACCATTTGACTCCTGCCTCTCTCATCTTAAAAATTTTCATAAGAATTAGTGGATTTTAAAATGGTCTGCTTTCTACCTGGTATGAAAGACAGAATACCCCAGATAATGAAAAACAGAGGGAGCTGCAGGAGCTAACGCGTAAAATCTCAAGGTTAAAATGTCGAGAAGCCTCAGTGAATCGGGCTTGGATTTTAGCACACACCTAGTGCTAAAAAATGCAATCTTGAATTGACTTCTTCAGCCTCGTTTGTGCATTCCTCTGTTGCATTTCTGATCCTTCTAGGGCTGGTTAGCTTGGATGCAACACTGAACCAAGCTGATTTTTGACACCACACACAAAATACAAAATAATTGCCAGCTATTGCAAATGAAAGTTGGAATTGAAACAGTGGTTGTGTGCCACCTTTTGAGGAGCATCCCTGTGGCTCTTGTGCAGAACGGAAGGTGCTACAGGAAGAACTGAGTTGAGGGTGACACAGGGCAGGCAGAGTTTGTCAGTTTTGCTTCTGGGCAGCACAGAAGTGGTAAAACTGTCTCAGAGCCAACCTGATCCTTGGTGATAACTCCATGGCTCTGAACCTGTGGCTGTTCTGGAGCACAGGTAGGTAGATCTGGGTAAGAGGGAGTTCGCTGGATAGTCTTTAGAAAGGAATTGTCTGTCTTCTAGTCACTCCGCAGTCTTCCTCTCAAAATGAATTTTACACCAGATTTTGGCATACACAGATTCCTTTGAAAATTGCTGTATTTGCTAGAGTTCAAGTCACTTTTCAAAGTTATCCGGTGGTGCCCAGTTAAAAAGCAAGCCCCGTTATACTCTCTTTTTTCAGACCATATTTATTTCATGTTTCCTTCCATACATATTACAATCCCCTCTTCCATCATGAAATAGTATTTCAACATTTTAAAGCTTTTTGTGAACATTCTTCCTTTTTTATTTTTAATCATGTTATTCCCATATTTACTGTTCACCTTTGTGTACTGAACTGTCCCAATTCGTGCAATTTTTTGTGCCAGCACTTTTTTCTCTTTCAAATATGCTGGCAGAGTTAGCGCAGAGCATATCATCTATCTAATGTTCAAAAAAGTAACTGTCAGCCAGATTGACAAGAAAGATATTTTTTTCCTTTAGCCAAAATTTTCCTGCCAGTTTCTGTGTTCTCATAAATGCCATAACTGGATTTTTTACTAGTTTTTAATTTTTTTTACCATCTTGGAATTGAAATATCTTAATTCTTAAAATGTAAAAATGCTGCTCTCTTTCTCACTTTTGTTATCTAAAAACATATTTTTCTTAGCTCACAGTTTTTGGGTCATTCTTCCCAATACTGAGTAGTTTTGCTAATTTTTACTCTTTCAGCTTCGGAATTCTCTGAGAAGCTTCACGAAGGAGTAGTTTATAACTAGAATTGTTACCCAGTTTTACAGTATGTAAGACTGATGCTGCCTCAGAGGAAGAAGGGGAGGCAGGCAGAACAGAGGTAGCATGAGTCCAGTTTTACATTTGCCCTCTTCTATTGTCTTGTTTCTACAAAGTGATTGAAATTTGCATTTGTATTTCATCTTAGATCAATTTGAGAACACTGAAGTATAATTTCTAGGTAATATTTCTGAAATGTGCAGCTATTTCACTGTTTGTTGGCTCCAAATTGTACACTCATTGCCAAATCAAAATTAACAATGGTGTGTCTGAGTTTGGTATAGATTTTGTGAAGGTTTTTTGGAATATTTAGTAAATAGGGCCCCAGATAAATCTACCAAGTGATCAGATTTTAATCGTACTGGTATGTTAAAACATACCTGCAGAGCTTAGTTGTCCTGATTTTTATTCCCTCCCCTTTATCCCACAATAGGATTATTAATTTAGTACAAAATCCATGTGGTTCTGGGCTGTTGTGTCCATGCTCTCAAGTGGGTGAGCTTCCTTCCCCCTCTCTCTGCCGCTGCTCTTCAAAAATGGCAAAGGTGTATCTTTAAGTGGAACACAAAGTGATGTAGTGATTAAGGTTTTTCACACTAATTATAAATGTAGTTGCAGAGATCCAGTATGTTAGGAAATAAAAGGACATCTTATGAATTCCTCAACTATCATGGGACAGCTAATGCTTTCACACATGTTTAATTACCTACATTTTAAATATTACATTTATATACTAATAAATCAAATGTAACAGCACGTCTTAAATTTTTCTGTTGAAATTGAGTAATGCATTAAAACATTGCTCTAGTATACAGATTCTAGATAATTATTAAAATTCAGCATACTTCAATTTTAATGTGGAGCAATTACAATACAAAGTTATACACCTTCATTTCTTTCTTGGTATCAGTACATTCCTAAACATTAATGCATGATGTAAGGTTTAGTTGGATAATTTTCTTGGCAAAATGTGTGTACACTTTTGTAGTTGCTGTAAGGTCAGGCTTATTTATAATGCATGCAGTATTGAATTTGAATGGAATACTGGGATGCTGCCCAGTCAAGTGAAAGTGTCTGATTAACTGTCAGGTAACACAGCTCCAGCTTAGGTAGGCAAATCCATCTGTGTCACATTTAGTTGTCATCCTTTTTTATGCTAAAATAGCGCTGCTAGTTTTTGCTGCTTTTTTTTTTCCCCCTCAAACTGATTACTTTGGGTTTAGTAAAGAGTGGTTGTAATACTTAGGTAAGTAGTATAATAAATTAGTATTTCTAAGTGGATGACAGGTGTATATAAGGAAAGTATTTTTATGAGGTAAGATTTCTACTTCTCTACCCTGTAAAAATTAGAAAAATTAGTTCAGTGAATTAGATCTTTGCCAATTCAGTTCCAGCAAACTTTATTTCTGGCCACAGGGTGTCTATATTAAGAAGAATCACTTGCTCTTTTGATATTCAACTTAGTTTATCAAAATCTACCAAAACCAGAAAATACTAAATAGAAATCTGTTATAGAATCTACTAAGACTCACCTGGGCAAAAATTATGTCGTGAGAAACATGCAGCAATGAGGCTCTAGATATGTGACTTGTAAAAGGTAGTTATCAAAGATATATGTTTGTGTATATTAAATACCCTTTTACGTTTCTTTACCTTTGAGATCTTTGTATTTACTTGTAGAAACTCTCTCTGCTGTCTGTCATACGCTTTTTCTCTGTGCCATTCTTTTCTTGCTATCTGCCTGACCCCAGGCCCTAGAAAGACAGAAAGATTACTTTGACTGCATTAAGAATGAGCGAGATGAGCTCAGAGAGGAGTTGGCTGACCTGAAGGAAACAATGACGAGAGGAGAGGTATGTTGGTAGAAGTTACTTTACGGTAACAGAAATCCAGGAATGGGGCATGAAATCAAGGTCAATGAAAAAAGAGGAAGAATGGTCACTGTTCTTGTGCAGTCTCACAACCTGACCCTAGGGTAGGATAAACAGCACGTTTTATTGTAACTGTTTCAATCAATTTGAAAAGCTTTTTAAAAACTTTTCTGTCCAACTGTATTTTAGCACTACTCCTGTATGAGTGGTTGTTTTTTTTTTTCTGTTGTGTTTTTAGAAACATGGATTAGTTATAATTCCAGATGGCACACCAAATGGCGATGTAAACCATGAATCAGTGGTTGGTGCAATAACAGTTGTATCACAGGAAGCTGCTCAAGTCTTGGAATCTGCAGGAGAAGGACCACTAGGTAAAAATATCCTAAGAAAATATCCTAACATACTTTACAGAGTGTTTGAAGTCTTTGTTTGCTTCCTCTTCAGTGGGTTGTGATTTACAGACACAGAAACATACCTGTTGTGTTTCTGGAGTACATCCTTACACAACTTTTAAGATTGTGATTTTTAATTTTTTTTTTTAATACTGAGTAAAAAGACACATGTATCTTTTGAGTTAAAAAAAATAAAAATTAACAGTATGTGCTTGGATGTTTGTCACTGATTAGCTCTCTTGGTCCAGTTTCTGTTTTGTTACTGCCAGAAAATATCTTGCCTAAAAACGTAGTCTTTTGGATTAGTATGTTTTCTGTTGTGTTTCGAGAGAGGGGGGGAAAAAAAATATATGTATAATGAATGAAAGAACTTCTGTTACAGAAAACAATGCATTGTATATACTTTGCCCTTCCTTGAAATACTTCTGCTTTTGTTAGTGTAAAGCAAGTGCAATCATCACACTCATTAGAAAAAAAAATAAAGTGTTAAAAACATTTAAAACATGACACAGGCAACAGAAAGATACAATCAGAAAAGAATTTTGTTGGAAATGGCTGTTCTGGATACTGGGACAAAACTGTGTGTTGTTATTAAAAAAAAATCCTTGGTTGCTAATTTACTTTGAAGAATTACTAAACTTAGAGGTCTTGCTTTTAAAATTGTTACACCAATAAACAGTATGAATTAAATATTTCTCCCTTTTTTCTGCTATTAACTGAAGGCTGGTATGTTGTTATTAGTGAGTTATCCAAGTTTTGTGCTCCAGTGCTATTAGCTTTAAGTAGAAGAGCATTTTAATTTGAAAATTAAAAAGAAGTTATGAAAAATATGTTCTTAGTTACAGATTTCTCTAGTTTTTAATTGGGTTTTTTGTTTTAGATGTACGGCTACGAAAACTGGCTGGAGAAAAGGAGGAATTATTGTCCCAGGTAAAATAAGCTATTCTTTTCAGAAATAGACCTTTGTATATTCTTTTGCAAACTATTAATATATTAGCAATAAACAAATATTAAGCACCAAAGGTGCTTAATCAAATACTTAAGCAAGATAAAATACTCAACTTTTTACCTGGCTGGCTACTAGGAATTATCAGCTCCTCTCACTCATGTCGTTATCCATGTGACTTTGATCTTCAATCTAACTTGCTGCTGACTCTACTATTAGTGCACATCCTTAAAGCTGCTCTATTTTATTTTGTCTTATGCGGAAATACTAAAGTCAGTAAAATCTCATTAAACTCAAGTGGCTCTTTTCTTCCAGATTGCTAAATGGTACTATTTCTTTGATCATTTCAGTTACTCAAATAGAAAATTAATATTATCAAAGTAGTTGTATTTTGATACAGTTCAGTATTGAGAAGAAGAGATTCAAGAAATCATATAGCCATTGAGCAGTTGTTAAAAATACCATAATTTTTGTCATTCTAGTTGAACACATTGCAATTTTAAAATCACAGAATCACAGAATGGTGGGGTTGGAAGGGACCTCAGGAGATCATCCAGTCCAACCCCCCTGCCAAAGCAGGTTCTACACCAGGTCACACAGGAAAGCGTCCAGGTGGGTTTGGAACATCTCCAGAGATGGAGACTCCACACCCTCTCTGGGCAGCCTGTCCCAGTGCTCTGTCACCCTCATGACGTTGTCAACATTTGTTTTTGCTGGGAATTTTAGTATAAATACTTGGTTTAGCACGGCAATAAATTCTAGTATTGAATCAAGGCTATTAAAAATATGTATACGAATACATATATGCATATTTATTGACATATAATTGTAAAATAATCGTTAAAATAATTGATTTATATAATGAATGGGAGTTTTGCAAGTGTAAAACCTATACCACTAATCTGTAGGGCAATATTTTGATATAAGAGTCAAAAATGTATCTTCCACTTCTTTCATAAACTCCAGACACAGAGGACGTAGCTGAGGAATCTGTGTTCCCTGACTACTGGAAAAAAAAAATTAAAAATAAATAAGACAGTTGCTATAACACAAAATAAAACCATTTAAGATTAGTGTGACTACAGATTTGCCCTGGGACATTGCTTCCATATGAAGTAAAAAGAGAGGACCCCAAAAAAGCTGTGGATTATTCTTTCTGTAAACTCATGAGGATCTTGTTCATAATCTTCATATGTGTTTAGAGTGTAAAGGGTTCTCTGTAGAAGAAATGCATAAATACAGTTTGATGCCACGTCCTCCTCTTCTGGAAAGGCAGCTCTGTTAGAGCTACTGGGTGTCCTACATTGCACAGAGATCCCTGCAGGACTGACCAAGCTGGTGGGTTTGGATTGTGTGGTGACACGCAGAGGGCACTCACCCAGCAATGGGGATGGGGGACTCCAGCCACAGGCCTCCGGGACTGGCTTCCCCTCCTCCCTTGCACCGCTCTGCTGCTCCTGCTTACAGAACTATCTCTGCCAGTGACAACTCAAGACTTGCTCTGTCTTTTCCCCGTTTAATGTTTAGATGCACAACTACTGAACTTGTGGGAGTCTCCCTTTCACAAGAGAACACTTCTTTTTCAGGTTAGAAAACTGAAGATGCAGTTGGAAGAAGAACGACAGAAATACTCTAAAAGCGACGGCATGAATCCAGATATGATTGGCTTAGAGAACGGTTCTGACTTGCAGCTCATTGAAATGCAGAGTAGGTATATGGTTCCTGCTCAGAGCTATTCCTG